GCTTACTGGCGCGCGTGACGTGCACCTCCCACTTCGATGTCCACACACACACACTGTCCAACCAATCACAGGCCGACTTAGCCAAGGAACGCTTTCTCTCTCTGTCTACTGGCCTGACTGCTCTAAAAGTGGCACTTAGACCACGGCTGGTTCTCCTGCTAGTTATAAGCTTTACCGATTTCTTCTCCACTAAGTAACCACGGTCTGAAGATCACAGCTTCCTGGGTTTAAGTCACTTAATCCTCTGTGATAGATAAGTGACCCTGAGCTGGTCTTTTCGGGATTAGCAACCGTCTTTAGACCGAATTCTATGCCTTGGGATTCTTATGACGCACATACTCAACCTGTCAGTTAGCACTCAATGTCCAGAATTTTAGGATTTGGGTGGTATCTGATTCATCGGTGCCAACTCGGTCAGCGAAATTCACTCGCTGCTTGCGATTGGGTCCCAGACGCACTCCAGTATATGATACAACTACGGCAACTACATTTTATCGACACGTGCGATGCTGATAGCAAATGGCTTCTTTCGAGTTCTGCAGCAGAATAAGCAGCTCGATCTCAAAACGAGCTAATGAAAAAAGAAAGTTCTATTATTACTCTTTTCCATTCAACTTGGTATGCGTATATTCATTAAAAAAACAGCAGCAAAGCGGAAGGCAGTGAATCAAAATGCAAGGTGATTAAGTTTGGCTTGAGGAAAACTGCAGATTATAATTTCATTATGTTACGTACTGGCAGTAGATTACGTTGGTAGGTTTGTTGGCACGTGATGACACGACTCGTTTTTAATCTCAGGACAGAGATTCCGAGTGCTACGTCTCCTTCTTAGGGTTTGAGCTGACCCCATTTCTTATTCTATCAAATCCTGGTCGGATGTGCGTGGACCAGACGTGTGTCACTACTCCCAAGTGTCGGCTCGCACCACGCCAGTTTAATCTGTCCAATAAGAGAAAAAGGGTGGAGGGCAACGGTAGCTTATGTAGGCCCACTCATTAATCCCTACTCCCAGCATGTTGTCCTACGAAAACAGTGGTTGTGGGGTTTTATGGTTGGAGAATTAGAGCATGCAGTGGAATATACTTTAATGACTGCTAAATGCATTTTACTTTAACTGTTTTCAGAAGTGTTGCTGATTTATATCTGTAGATTTTCCTAATCTGTATTATTGTTTAACGTATTGCGGAAAAACCCGATTAGCAAATTGCAGGTTTCTTGAAATTCCCGAAAAATAAAAAAATGTGGTTAGGAGGTCGTCTACTTTAACTTACCTGAGGTCCAACTTACCGCTCTGGAGTTAGCTTAGTATAGTCCGCGGCGCGAAGCGCCGCGAACACCTTCAATTTACATGCGGAACAACTTAATCCCAGCGGCCCCAGGAAACAATTTCGACTACTACTTATAACTTACTTCTAAACGTTTTCTCCTCTGCCTATCCTATTTCCCCACCCCCAAAACCCTATAAACACCGTTTTCGTAGGACAAAATGCTGGGACTAGGGGTATATGAGGGACACTACATAAGCTATTTTTGCCGGGTGGAGTGTGGAAGATGCGGTGCAAGCCCATTATCAGTATTAACTTACTCACGTATACTTCAGTGTCCCCGCGCCGCACATTATGTGAACCTCCAAATGCTCTCTTCAGCTGCCGGTGTTTCCTATGTTTTTTTTAGTTGACCCTATAATACAGCGACACTTTAAAACGGTCAAGCAATTTGCTGATTGCATCCTTAATGAGGTCACCCACCCTGTATACTCTGAGCTAATGGCTGCGAAGTCTACCCGTACTATGCGCCAAAGCTTCCGTCATATGTCTTGCCGTACACTGGCATATCAGCACTCTGCAATCCCATTCCTAGCACACTATTTCACATGTGAAGAAACGGAAATGGAGAAGTTGAAAGCCTACCTATCTTCATAATAGATGTAGATATAGTGTAAACTTTTATCGTTGAGTATTCTATGATCTATTACCATGACCCCTTACCTTACCTTAACCCTTGCTCTCTCCGTAAATGAAGTCATTTTTGCTGAAACTTTTGCATATTACCTTCAAAACACAGCATTTTCTCTCTCGCTGAGAGTTGAGCTCTAATCTGGTGCCCTCAAACCGCTGTCTAGTCACTTGCAATGTAAGGCAATTGCATATTCCCATAGGCTTTTAGAGGGATTGCGTATAGATCTCATGAAAGCTCTTAACGGATATAGATTAATGTGTTTATTTTATTAGGAGCATTTCGGGCGTTTAGGTTCAGTAGTCGCCGGTTATTAAGCCGATTATTAAGCCGGTTATTAAGCCCAAATCAGCTTGGGATGGAATTTTATATAGTAAAATCCGCCGGCTTATAAGCCCAGTCGCCGGCTACAAAGCCCAGTTTGCCACTAAATCCGCCGGCTAATAAGCCCAGTCGCCGGCTACAAAGCCCAGTTTGCCAATGATATAGAGTGAGATTCTCATCTCTCTGCGTGCGCAACGCGGTCTACAGGCATCTAGATTCTAATCTCTCTGAGTACGCAACTGGTTACTTGTCGCAAATAATTTTCTTGTTTTTGTTATTACGTAAAATACAGACAAACTGCATTCTTTTCTTGTACATAACCAAGCTCTACACATAATAGAGTACGTATGT